CATCTAGGATGACTTCAGTAAGACCTAATGACATCTGATGATATTATTCCCCTGCTTCCAAAGCAATTTATTGCTCATGGAATAAGATGAAAGCTCCTTATCAGGATGTATGCAGCTTTATGGTCTCCTCCTAGTCCACTTCTCAGGCTTATCTCTTGTCACTGGCTACATTTCACTCCAGCTAGGTGTTTCTGTTTCCTGGACCAGCCAGTCTCTCTACACTTCTGGGCCTTCCCCTGGCTTGCTCCTCCTAATCAGTGGATGCTGGAAAGGTTCCATTTGCCCCTTTGGATCTCTTTTCATCTTCTCCACTCTCTCCATGCTCCAGTGGCTGAACTTTCATTGGCTCCCTCGCTCCCTTGTTTTTTGTGGGCAAGAAACCCAATGGGAAGCACCAGCAGAAAATCGACGGGCAGAAGAGTGAAGGTGGATTATCTACTCCCCAGTTCCCTTCCTTCCAGACTCAAGGAGGCCACAGTGCCTGTTGGACCTCTCCTACAGCAGGCTTTCTTTCTCTGGTTTCTGGCAAACATTCCATCCCTTGCCCCTTCAGGCCTAGGGATGGCCAAGGCTCTCCCCTGTTTCTAGCCCCAGAGTGCTTCACAGACCTTGTTGGCTTCCCGCCTTCTCTTTGTAAATCACCTCTTGATTTGCTCTCTTTGGTTACTCTGAAGGGTCCGTCTGTTTTCTGTTGGGACCCAGACTGATACACTCTGTCATCCTCCAAGCCTCAGCCCGGCCTCCCCTACTCTGTTGAGTCTTTCCACCAGGGTCCTGTACAGACTTCTGCTCTCCACCTCATAACTTTCTAGTGCCTGTATCATTCTCTGGGTGTCTCCCTCTCTTGGCAGCAGGAACTTGCCTTTGTCTCTGAGGCGCTAGTACCTCGAAGGGTATCCGGTACTTGGCAAATGCTGAGTAAATGTTTGTTGGATGATTGATGGTTGAACTCAGAAAAAAGATGCCAAAAGCCGGGCTCGGTGGCTCAGCCTGTAATCCCGTGCATTTGGGAGGCTGAGGTGAGTGGATTGCCTGAGCCCACGGGTTCGAGACCGGCCTGAGCAGCGAGACTTCATCTCTACAATAAATCAAAAAATCAGCCGGGCGTCGTAGCGCATGCCTATAATTCCAGCTACTCGGAAGGCTGAGGTGGAAGGATCGCCGGAGCCCAGCAGGTCGAGGC